GAACATGGCAGCTAACCTGATGTCCATAAACTAGAATGATTTGGCAGCATAACGTAAAGATAATTAGATGCAAACAAGCTTTATTCATTAATTTATATTCAGCAAAATACACTAGCATAAAGATGGTCATTTATTAGCCTTCCTCTTTTGTTATTGATCAAATCAAATGGAGCTAACTAGGCCTCCATTTGATTTAGCAGTTGTTATTGAGTCACCATTAACCACTCTGCAATTCAATCTAATCTCTCCTTTAGTACCCGTCAAAGGCATGATGTTTCCCATTCTTATCATAGATTCAGCGAAACTTTCAAAGAATGCAGTTTGGTTGTTGCTAAATCTGTTAACAATTTCAATGGTATCTGCCCCAACAGTGGAGAACAACTCTTGATCACTTTGAAGCAAACCTTTTTGAGCCTGAAGGTTGGCAAAGTAGTTGTTGTCAAAGGTATCGGGTGTTGTGGGATCAAAATCTGTCAGGACACTTCCATTACCAACTTGAGGGCATAATTCACGCAATGTTGCTAAATAGGTTGTATCCAGGAAAGTGTCAGGATTTCCATTGCCATCAAAGTCATACAGTCTGTTTATGAATGTATTGCATCGAGCCCGTCCAATTGTGTGACCACCTGGAAAAAAATGCAGTCCTACTTTAGAACTAAATAAAATCATATCCTTCCATCAAAAATAAAATAAAATCATATCCTTAATTCCTCCTAATTATATGTGAATTCAGTTTTAAACTGCTTGAGGAAAGTGTCTCTATAAAGTCTTGGAATTACCAGACAGCGCGACCAGATCTGTGCTGGTGTTAAGTCCAACGGCAAGGAATTTGGATTTGAGTTCTTCCAGGGTTTCAGTAGGACCTGGAAGGAATTCATCAGCCAGTGTGTGGTTTGCGGTTCTGCTGTCTCTTCTTCCTAACAAAACCGGCCAAGATGGGCCTCCTGCCTGTCAACGTGAACTTGGTTATGAACAACATACATTAAAAACCCATAGTTTTCATTTCAGGGGAAGGAAAGTAGAGATCAGTACCAAATAGACTGATTCTTCAGCTGCAATTGCAAGAATGTCAGCACAGGAGACGGTAGCGGGACAAGCAGTCTCCAACTCTGCCTTCATTGCATCAACAACATTAAAACCCCTCAAGGAGTTGTTGTTAGCCAATGATTCCTTCTCACTCACTATGGTGTCACTGTTGTCTAGCAAAACCGAAGCATCACAGCCCTGAAATAAGTTGCAGCAGATTATCATTGAAGAAAAAAACGGCACCAAATCAAAAAAACACAAAAAAGAGAATGAAATTATGGGAAATAGCATAAGGTTTGAACTTGGAAGGGATTGGAGATGTTACACTAACGAAGCAGTCATGGAAATGAAGCCTAATAAGACTTGCACCAATTCTGGGATCTGACAGCAGAGCATTTGCAAGAACTCTACGTACAATGCTCGACACATTTGGGCAAGTTTCATCATAAAATGTAGGACTCAGTTGGCGATATGACAATGAACCCCCCTGAAGCAGAACTAGAAAAAAAAGTAGAGTTAGGGATCGAAAAGAAGACATTTTGCTGATGGAATGAGACTTCGTTTTGTTTTTTAATTTTTGGTAGGTGAATGATTGAGCTTTCTTTTCTTTCTTTCTATCTTCTTCTTTTTTTTTTTCTCTCTTATTCGTGAATGAATGAGATTTCTATGTTAAGGATACATTATATTTGGGAACTCTTTAATGGCCTTTATTTATAAAAAGACAAAAAGGTTTTTTATTTTTTATTTTTTATTTTTTTGAATAAGTAAAAATTTAGAAAAAGAGAATTTGAAATAAAAAAATGTGTAAATAAAAATATTAATTTTGTATTCTTTTTATTTATGCATATTAATTTTATTAATTTTTAAATAAAAATATCAATTTTTAATTTTTAAATAAAAACATTGATTTTCCTTCTCTTCCCTATCCCCTCCCTTCCCTTCTTTTGCGAATTTTTATCCAAATATACCTTTAAAAAAAATCACCTGATTTGCAGCAAACCTCTTGACAATGGTCACAGTACCAGCTCCAACGGTGCAATACAGTTCCTGGTCACTTTGAACAAGGCTGTAATTTTCTGTTTAACATTTGTGAAGTACTTATTGCCAAAAGCATGACGAGTTGATGGATCAATACTATAAGGGTACTAATTAAGAACTTTTTTTTCTCTCAAAAAAAAAAGAAAAACCCAAAACAAAAATGATTTTTCTCTGGTTTATTTAAATTAACCCAATTGGGGGAAGTTGGGCTGCTTAACTTGGGCCAAGATCCAGTCCATATTAGCATTT